TTGTTTTTAAAAGTTTGTAGCAAAACGCATCTTGTGTGTACAATGTTTTAGGAAACCGATTCCAAAAGGAAGTCATACTATGATTTTGTTACAAGTGTTTTAAGTTTTCGGCAAAAACGTATCTCAATTTTCATTGGAAAATACCGGTGTTATTGAATTGGTTTGATGATTCATCTCCAAAATCATCAAACCAATTCAATAACACCGGTATTTTTCAATGAGAATTGAGATACGCTTTTGCCGAAAACTTAAAACACTTGTAACAAAATCATAATATGACTTTCCTTTGGATTCGGTTTCCTAAAAAATTGTACCTACAAGATGCATTTTGCTTCAAACTTTAAAAAAAAATTGTAAAATAAGCCAATTTGCAAAAAATTAGAATTAGGTTTGAGTTTTTTAATTAATGAGGAAAGAAATTCTGCGTTTCCTGGCAAAATAAGAAGAATAGATAGCTACTCTGCAAAAGCACAGAATGTTCCGACCATGGTCTTCAGAAAGCTACGGTTTGAAAAATTTTTTCCGAATGAGTGAAAATTTTTCTACTTGGTGTGATAAAAGTATCTTACGCGAAAATTTAAATTGGGCATAATTGACAGTCATAGTAATCAAGGCAAAATAGACGCCATTTTTGCAGAAAAAGACGAGAAAAGCAAAAGATTATTTATAAAAAAAATTTTGAAGAAAACTTTTGAATTTTTTGAAGATTTTTTTTTTCCGAATTGAAGCTAAAAAAGTCGAAAAATTAATTTTAGCATAATAAACTTAACTTTTACGGTTTTAAATTGGACATAGTTTGACTTTTAAGCCTGTTCGTTTGCTTTATTTGCCCAAATTAAGACAAAAAAATTCAAATTTTCAAACCGGTTTTTCTCGACATCATTAATGTGGTTCGAATCACGACTTTAGAATCACGGGTTTTAAAGTTATATAACACTCAGCCCAGTCCGATCATTATATGGTTCCTCATTTTGCGTTGAGAACAAAAAGAAAAAAACTAAAAGACACCCCAATACAAAGTTACTCCTCATTTTTCAAATGGTCGGAATAAAAAACAAAAAACTGTACATAGAAATTAGCAATTATTCAGTGTTCCACGCTCAAATTGAAAAAAAAACAATGATTTAGAGATACCTGGAATATCAAACTGACTAATTGTGAAAAAAGCAGTTAAACTAAATAGAAATTTTGATGTCGTATCTCAAAATGTCAGTACAAGAGTGGAACTCAGAGCAATGAATCAGAAACAGAAGGAATTGGAATGCCGATTTGACTAATTCTGTCTGATTGTTCTTCGAAATGGTTGAAATAAAATCAAACAAAACCACTTTTAGCGTTTCTTTTGCTTCAAAACTCAACCAAGTTTCTTTTTTAAAATTAGGATATGCTGATCTTGAGTAGACAAAAAAATTCAACATTCTGTTCGTCTGCTCGTTGATATAGTCGAAACCAAGTAAGAGCAGACAGGGGTTTGCAAGATTCTAATATTCAGTGTTTTGTAACAAAAAAAAACATCCGGTTTTTTCTACAAAGAAAATTTGAAAAAAAAAGAAAAAAACTAAGACACACAAATGATCATTTCGAATGATCGGATCAATAAGACTGAAAATAAGACAATTATGGGACACTCTTTCCTCAAAACGATTTCGAACTCTTTCAACCACAAATTTGCCAGTATGACTGAAAAAGATGCTCTCAAAATCAACCATTCTTCTGTGTATGCCTATCATTGCAATTAAAGTGCACTTGACTTACAGCTAGGTTTAACAATATCTTTATAGTGATGTGTGAAATGTCTGGAGGCTTCTCTTGCTTATAAAGTTTTCTGAGTGCTTTGTTGATAGCCTCTTTGAGTGGAACTTTAGTTTACAAAATTCAAAATCTAAAGAAATTATGTTCTCATCGGAGTCCAATTCAGCCTTCTCAAAAATCTCTCGTGCTGGCTGTGTGTTTGTTTCCATGTTCGCTCCCTCAATTTTATCAAAAACTTTGCCAATGATTTGTTCAAGATGTAATATGAACTTCCACGAAGAAATCGAACGTAGAACAGGGCGCAGTTGTATGTCTTTCTTAAGTACTTTTTCTAAACCGTAAAAACAAGCCGTTTGAGTACCTGTTGAACTCAATTTGTTTTAAAGATGTTCATATATGTCATTGCCCTTTTTCAGATTATTGATTTTGTTTTGTGGGTTTCATTCACTTGTACACTAGTGTACTTTGCAATAGTGTACTTTGCAATATTTGCAATAGTGTTCTTTATCCTAGAGTACACTATTGCAAATTGTTCACAGGCTGGATGTCAATGGATGTCAATCTTGCCAGAAGACTAAAAGATACCAAATAATTGAAACTCTCTTTTGGGCTCCCAGTCATTTCCGCCCCAAAAACAGTCAATTCCGCTCCAAAAACAGTCAGTTCCCATTTGACTGCTTTTGGGGCAGAAATGACTGGATTTTTGGGGCGGAACTGTCTGGGGCAGAAATGATTGAGGGCGAGAATGTCTGGTCATATCTCTTTTGCAGCCATTGAAAGGGAGCGAAACAAGGATCAGATGATTTGTTTGGCAGCAATTATACCCGCACCTGCTCTTGCATTGTACAAAAATTTTTACAGCAAGAGACGACTGGGTTTGAAAAAAAACTTGGTTTGTAAAAGTCGTAGCAAATTGGTCAAGACAATCAAAACGTACCCGATTCGGGTTGACCAGTTCGAACATACCGCGAGATGGTCAAATATAACGCGAGCTTTTTAAACCAATTTGGATTCAAAAACTCACATTGGGTCAACTCATACGGTGCGATCTAAGTCGAAAATCTCAACCTGCGTCAAAACTGATATCGGACCATTCATCAAAAACACCTGGCTTAATCAAATCATACAAGATTTAACTACACGCGCTTTTGTTTTTACAAAATTGATACCCTGTTGATGCTGTTGAATTACTTGAGTTTTCTATAACTTCAAGTTAAAATTTTCAAAAACGCAGCAAAAGACTTGCTGGAAGGTCGGTAGATTGATTTATGTTTTCAAAAAACGGCTTTTTAGTAGCACCCGGCTTCATACTATGTGCAACCTACTTCACTTTTTTCCAATTTAGCGGCGCAATATTTATATCCGGGTTTCTTGGCCAGTTGTTCCGATTACTTGTATACTAAACATCTGTGATATTACTTTGAAACCTTTTTTCATTATCTGACCGATGTGTAGTTGTTTAAATTTGCCATATCCAGGAAAATTGCATAATTACCTTAAAGTATGTCCAACTCTAGTTGCGTGGAAGTTTTTACAAAAATAAAAGTTAAAAAGTCGAGCGATTAAAAATTTTTCATTTGTATAGTACAAAAATTTGTTACAATGTTTTTTTTTTCAAAAGTCAGCTTCAGAGAAGTTTCCTATTGAATTGTTTTGAGGGAATGAATTTCGAATGAGTTTGTCCAGTCTTCTTTAACCAAAATTCTCTATCCTTTTAAAAACAGTATCAAGGAATGAGTCAACGAAAATTTTGATTTTCATACTAAGCCTGAACATATTGAGTTATGTATTATGTACTATACTCATAGAGTAATTTCAGATAGGGTACACCGTCTGCTCGTCACTTAATTTCGGCCGGATAGATTCGTGCAACTTCTTAGTCTAATACCGATCTTAATCTTACTCTTATATCTCCTAGTCTCAATAGATCTAGTGTACACCGGTTTGCCCGGGAAGGGCATGTAGTTCGCTTTTGGATGCAGTGCCTGGTGAATTGGATCTGTACGTATACTTGAACATCGAGATGGTCATTGTTCTGTTGCAATAGAGTTCCTTTGCTGCGATACCAAGTCGTACTTTAAATCCATTGAGTGTAGTGATTGTAGGCAGCATGTCAGGTGGGTTTGCCATTCCGTAGTTGGAGTGTGATTGGGTTGTCAAGTTCCTTGCTGCTCGTCTTTGGGCTGTATATTATCTATATATTGCATTGTATTATTTACAGATATAAATCTTTGTTAATCTTGTTTTTAGTCATGATTTTGTACTAGTTTTTATCGCAAAAGTGTTACTATTTAGTTCGGTTATTTTTAAGAGCTACTCACACTTGAGTAACTCCCATCAAAAATAGTCTCGTGGAGGTCACAAAGCGTGGATGTAGCACGATGGGTGAGGCCGGCTATAGAGCATGCTCAGGACGTCCTCTTCTGGTGGGTTAGACCAGAAGTGAGGGTATAATTTCATGCTCTCTTTTTGGAGGGTCCTGTTTTTAGTTCCACCTTTCATGCTATTTTTTTACTGGTTTTTCTTCTGTTGTTTTGGTTATGTATTTTTCTCAAAAATCCAATTTGTTTGTTTTGGATTTGTCTTTCGACTTTTTGGTGTTTTGTTCTTTTGTGTTCAGACTTAAAAGTAGTCTTCAAAAGAATAATTTATCCAGTTCTAAGCTGGTGTTAATCCAGTTTGGGTACCGTGGGTTTTCTTTTCTTAGTCATGCTGTTAGGTTATGGTTTAAGGTGTTTAGTAAGCTTGCGTTGGTTAGTTTGGATTATTATATAATTCCTTTCAAACCGGGTTAAAGGAAAGTCTGAGAAGTATTAAAGCTTGTTAGAGTTGTTATCAGTGAAAGTAGAGACTTAAATTCATTATTTTAAACCAATCTTTGTGGGCGAGCAATGCGAATTTGGATAGATTTTATGGGCGAGAGTATACAGAGAAGCGTCTCTAAAAATGTTAGTATTGCTATCTGTAATTTATGAACAATTTTTATCAATTTACTACTTGAAAATTATGAAGTTTACTGATTGATTTAGGGGTTGAAATTGTTAATTTATTTTCAATTGTATGAATATTTACTGCTTTGGGGAGAAGAATTTATATATCAATTTACTGCTCTGTACGGGCTAATTTTATTGCTTCAATTATTGAATAGGTTAATTGAATTTTATTAATTGATAAGAAGTTTCTGTTTTTCATTTTGCTTTTTGTTTTGTAGATGATTGATGATTGTGCCTATGAAGAAAAAAGAAAACATTTAATAAGAATGGTTAGTGTTGCATGAGTTTATTAGTAATGAGGAAAAGCATCATGGATCATATCAGATGAGGTTAATAGTTTAGAGAGCAAACGAATAGTGTGTTTAATTTGCAGAAGTGGCCAAAGCAGTTCGAGTGCTTTAATGATGTTGTGCTCTTCAGTGCTGGGTGATTGTTCGTACGGTGTGTTTTGAATAAGGTTTTATAGTTTGTGATTATAGCGAGTGTTATATATGAATTCCAGGATTGGGACTTCAACGGGCTTGAGGAATTCATGAGGGAAAATTAGTGGGCGGGATTCTTCTACATTTAGGAGATTGTATAGGGGACAGAAGATATACATCTGGGAGATGAGATCGTTATTTCGGGGGTTGCCTTGTATTTTAGTGTCTCTAATACAATAGGTGAAGTTGAGAAAAAAATGGTGAGTTGTATGTAGATTGGGCTTCGTGGATAATTAGATCTCGAAGTTATGAGGTTTGTTAGGGCGATATTTCTGAAATTTCGCGGTACCAATGATAGGGGATGGTTATGATTTAGGTTTTGCAATTGTGGTGCTGTAGGCGTTGTATTCGTTTTATTTCGTGATTCATAATATGTGTTTGGTGTTGTTGATATCTTGGTATTGTTTTCTTTTATTTGAGCGTCTAGATGTCTTTTGTTTATTGATGTGGAAAATATTCCGAAAAATCCTGCAAAAAGTATGCGTGCTACGCTTGCTTGTTTATTTACTTGCGTGTGTATTGCGCATGTATTGTAGATTCCTTTTAAGAGAGAGAAAAGAAATCCATCCTGAAAGGCAAGAAGTTCGTTTTTCAAGTTCACAAAACTAAAAATACTTTTTGTTGATATATCTTGTGGTCTGTATTTTTCGCCATTTAAGTAAATGTAATCTTTTATATCTTTAAAATATCCGCTATAGTCTTGTGCGTATATGTCTGAAAAGCCTGCTGTTTCTGCAAGTTTGCGTAGGTTTTGATCTATGGATTGTCGTTGTATTGTGTCCATTTTTGTGAGTAATTCTTGAAATTGTTGTGTTCGAATGTGATGTTGAATCTCAGATTTAGAGTATATGCCGATTGATTGTAAATCATTATTGGGGTTGCGGGCAATAGCTCTAATGCTTTCTGGTGAAAATTTTTTGAGTAGTTGCACAAGTGTAGAATACGGTGTGAGAAGATAGTATTTATCTTCGTCAGGGTTTAATTGTACTACACTGCGGCTATTTTCTGATCCACATGGAACTGCTGTATCCCAAAATTAAGTTCTGCGGGAGAGTATTAACAAATTTTTTGAGTAGTTGCACAAGTGTAGAATACGGTGTGAGAAGATAGTATTTATCTTCGTCAGGGTTTAATTGTACTACACTGTGGCTATTTTCTGATCCACATGGAACTGCTGTATCCCAAAATTAAGTTCTGCGGGAGAGTATCAACAAAATGTACTTTGTTTTTGTAGAATATTGGGATTCTTTTATAGCATCTTTCGTCTTCAAAAATATACAAAAATATATCTTTTGTCCCCTATAAAAATATATTTATTGCCTTCATAGTCAATAAATTTTGATCTGTTTCCTGACAATAAATATCCTGCATAAGGGATTTTAAGTACTGCAAGTGATTGTAAAATTTGTATGCGTTCAAGTTCTTATAATTGATGGAGTGTTTCAAGTTCTGTCAAAGGCATTTAATGAAAGATTCTACTTATTGTGTAGTCTAATTTCAAGTCTAAGTATATGCCATAATTGATTGCGGCAAAATGAATGTCATTAGTGATAGTTCTTGTAAACGTGTACTGTCTTTATCTTGTGGTTTTAATTTTCCACCAATGTTTCCTGTGTTTTTTAGAAATTTTACTGGGACAAATGATTTTTCGTCAGTGGTTGAGTGAGATGTAGCCATTGGATGTATAATTTATTTTCCTGTATTCATGTCGAAACCGTCTTCGTATTCGACAAGAATTTCTGAATATTGTGTTTTGTAAAGTGGTTTGGTGTAATTACATGCAAGTTCCGTTTCTGGGTATATTTGGAAACGTGTCAATTTATTTTCTATAGTATGAATGTTTATAAATCTAAAATTACTATGTCTGAAATGATCAGGGTTTACTTCTTCAAACGGGATTGATTCATTAAAGTTTTTTGATGAAATATTATCATTATAGCGTGTATTTTTGCTACTTGAAACGTGGTACAGGTGTCTTCGGGGAACCAAACAGTTGTTGCCTGTGTGCGTGTAGTAGGATCGCATTATCCTTGGTCGTTTTTGCAAGGGAGTCTGATTCCTTGATAAAATATAGTGTCATCTCTTAAGTCACGTGTAAGTTGTACTTTTTCAATTTGTTTTTTCCAATCAAAAATAATTATTTCTTGGTATGCTTTATTTTTTGGATCCGCTTTACAATTTGAGGGGTTGTTTATTCTAATGTGTTGTATCCAGTTTTATCATAGATATCGTAAGTTAATCTTCCATCTGCTCCGTGAAATGGAAATTTGTTATCTAATCTTATATGACCTTGATACTTTTCAAGTTCAGCGTGGTGTGCTGAGTATGGAAAAACTTGAAATTTTACTAGTTTTCTGTTTTTGCCTTCGTTTGATGTGATTTTTACTCGTTCAAGTTCGTTTTTGCAATCGTCAGGGATGAGGTGCAATATTCTTTTGATGTTACTTTGGTAGAAAGATTCATGATCTAATCTGTTTTTGTTTCCGTTTGAGACTTGCGAACAATGTACTTTCGTTTCGGAAAACGTCGCTGTGAATTTATATCCTGTTAGTGTTGTAGCTCGTGCTTTTGAGTGAAGTGTTGCTATTACATTTGTTGTTTCGATTGATTGTGGTTCGGATTAACATTGAGTGACTTGGTTTATTGCATATTTTTGTAAAGGTTTTTGTTCATTTTCTTCACAGTCATAGTGTGTGACTAGTAAATCCTGGGATCCTGTTCGGAGGGAAGGATTGTTATGGTCGGGTTTTGAAAAAGTGAAAAATAAAGGAGTCTGAAATATTAGTATCTTTTAAAGATACATGTGTACGATAATACTGAATATGGATTATAAAAGGTGATATATCCAATTGTCTTTTTTGTGTATCTATCGTATTTGTAGATTATTTCTGTGGTTACCAATGGGGAGGTAAAGATTGAGCTGTTATATTCGGAGCGGCTAGGGGTAAGGGATGATGAATTATATTATTTAGTCTTACTGTGATTTCAAATTTTAGTATCAAATTGTCCTGTATAAGTATTTGTATATTATGTTCTTGAATATCTTTGTGGATATTTTGTCGATATTGTAATCTGTTCAGTACCCAGTTGTGTAATATTGGAGAGGGTGCTACGAATGTATTCTAATCTAATCGTAGTTGTATAATATTTGTTGAATTTTCTCTACTTCTGGCGACAAGATTTGTTGGAAAATTTGGAGGAAAAAGTGTTTGTGAAATTTGAGTTAAAGAAGGGGTTGTAGGAAGTGAAAAAGTTTCAGGTAGTGACAAAGATGTTTCAGATGAAACGTCTATTGGATCATTTACTAAATTTGGTTCGCCTTGGGTGAAAACTTGTGTCATCCAAAATTGGAGATGTTCTGTAGTGGCTGGGGGATTAAAAGGGTTTTCTCTTATTGTTCAGATGTAGGGGTTGAACCTAAACAATCTGAGGGATTTTTCGATGTGTTTTGTTCTATTGGAATCTCTAGCGTACTTTGAATTGTACTGCTAGAAAAGTCTACAGGATTTCTTGTTGGTGAATGAGGTATGTTGAATTGAACTCTGGGGTTTTGCAAGTTTCTATTTCGTCTTGAATGAATAGTTTGTCGGTTTATTTCTAGTGTGTTTTGGTTTTGATTTTGGTGTCTTGCTCTATTAGGATCTGGTTGGAGAGGGGGTATATATTATATAATGGTTCGTTTTGTGGTTCGCTCAGCAATGCTTGGCGAATTACTGGCTCTAGTGGTTCGGACAATCGTGCGTGTCTTTCTTCAAATGTACATGGATTGTCTTGAAAAGAGATCCGTATTGATGATTGAGGGTTATTTGTTTGAGTATTTGTTGGTGTTGTTGGAGGTTCTTGGGACGTTGTTGATGGGGACGTATGTGGAGGTTGTTGATTAGCAATAGTGGAAAATTTTTTTACAAATTATTTATTTCAGAGGAAGGTTTGTGTTTTTTGTAGTATTCTTGAATGAAAAAAATTAGAAAAATCGTTGCTAATGCGAAAGTTTTTTTTTTTATACATTTGCATATTGTCATTATGAGGGATGTCGAAAAAGTGAGAAATATTATAAAAAGAAGAAAAACATCTGTTCTAATGAATAGAAGCTGGAACATTTAGATAGTTATTTGAAATATCGTACCTGAGGAGGTGGTCAATGATTTTGGAAAAATGATGTAGGTTTGGGCTAGGGAATGAAAACTGATGAAAAAATTGCAAAAAATTTATCAGGTTAAGGATCAATATTTCTAAAACATCAGATATAAAAATTATACAAGATTTGAAGAAATTGGAAAGAATTGAAAAAAAGTTTGAAAGTATATTATGAAATTTGTTAACTGTTTGAGAAAGAAGCATTTGAAGAAATGATTTCTTTGTCGAGTTTTTTTTTCTTTTTTGAGGCTAAATTTAAGTGTGGTCGGATTATTTATCGGTTTTTTGACAAGTGGGTTGGATTTTGACAATTTTTGAGAAAGGAAAGTTTAGAGGGCTCTTAAGAGTCTTCCTCGTTTTGTTGTTATTTATGGGATGATTGGGGGTATCGAAGGGATTTTCGTACTTTAGGCTAATTGATCATGTCCGTTCTGTTCTTTGGCCTAATTTAATATTTTTGCCCGAGGAGTTTTTGAGGTCTAAGCTGGGACAATATTGTTGATCTTTGTACTGCTTGATAGGGGGAGGGTTGTAATATTGAAACTTTGTTTATTTCAGGTGTCAATATTTAGCGGTTTGCTTATTTTTGACCTGGAGGTCTTTTAATTATAGTTAGAGATCGGCAAGAGGGTGATTGTTTGTCGGC